AAGCTGATGAAGGTTTTAACCACTCCCCATTTCCACTATGCTTGTCTTTATCTTGGAAATCACTTATTTTGTTTTGTACCCACCTATGCCTTACTGCTGGCCTGTCACTGACCAATAGTGAGGCAGGGAAGGTGGGACAGGGAACAGCAAAGACGTCCTTGATGAAGTCATTATTTGCATGACAGAATGCGCCAGAATTAAGGGCTTGCAGAGTTCTCTAGAACAGCGGTATCCAAACTGTGGCCCTTTGCTAACCTTTATCTGGTCCTTGGGAAAATATTCCTCCCAGTGATATAAAGCACTATTTTTACCACTGATACCAACATTGGGACATAATTCCTGTCACTGACACTAATGATGGGGCACTATTCCTACCTCTAATATCATCAATGGGGCACTATTCCTTCTACTAATATCATCAAAGGGGCACTATTCCTCCCACTATTATCTATGATGAGACGCTATTCTCCCACTGACACCAACAATGGGGCACTATTCCTCCCACTGATACCAATGATGGGACACAATCCCTCCCACTAATATCAATGGTGAGGTACTATTCCTCCCACTGACACTAACAATGGGGTACTATTCCGCACACTGATACCAATGATGTGCACTATTCATCCTACTGATGCCAATGACGGGATACTATTCTTCCCACTAATATCAATGATGAGACACGATTCTCCAACTGAAATCAACAATGGGGCACTATTCCTCCCACCGATACCAATGACAGGACACTGTTTCTCCAGCTAATATCAATGATGATGCACTGTTCCTCCCACTGACATCAACAATGAAGCACTATTCCTCCCACTGATATCAATGATGAGGCACTAATTCCTCCCACTGACACCAACAATGGGGCACTATTCCTCCCACTATTACCAAGGATGGGGCACTACTCCTCCTACTGACCACCTACCCTAAGGCAATGGTAAGTCTCACTGATTCTGAGCCCAGGACATTTTCTATTGTCACAATCCTCCCTCCCTTAAAGTCTGAAGGACAGTAAACTGGCCCTTTGTTTGAAAAAAAATAGAAACCCCTGCTTTTGAAGATAATGTGCAGGCACCTCTAGGTATTGGTTTATTATATTTTGTGGCAATAACCCTTAAGGGACTTTGGTCTCATTCACATGAGTGGCACATAACTGTACTAATATGCTGTGTATTACAAATAAAATCTAAGTTCATGTATGGTAAAGTCTATAAAAGCAGTTACACAGAATTAAAAAAAAAAAAAAAAAAAAACATTTCCCTGAACATTCTTCCACATACCGAAGAAAACTATTTTTGTGAATGAAAACATTTTATCAACGCAAAGCATGCTGACAATGGAGAAAAATCCCAGAACCTCAGACACAAAGAAAGCTACATGATCTCTCTGGAGATCCACATGACTGAAGACTAAAGTGGCAGTCAACCCATCAGATAGCACAGTCCCATTATGCAATCTTCCGACCTTGTGACTGTATAGTGAGATCATGGAAAGAGGTGTGTCCTGTAATCAGGCCAGATGGATGAGATACTGTTGATCAGAAGGCTAGCTTTCCACTAAATATAAAAGGCTGTTAAAGCTAAACTGCAACTTTGTTTATAAAGACAAACTAGAAGTAAATTTTCACAAATATGAAGGGAATATCTCTGCTGAGACTAATAAACATGTACACAACTGATCTGACTTCATAATTATGGCATTTTAATTTAAAATGGAATTTTACACCACATCTTTGGTTAGAATTGGGAAGTGTAGTTCTCCCTGGCAGGTTTTCTTGTTGTCTGTGTCCCTGTTGGTTTCCCAGCAGCACCAGCTGCACAATGACGTTTCTTCATGTATTGTTATGGAGAATCCATCAAGGAGCCCGTGACATTGTCATTAGCCCCTAGTGGATTTTCATGTATGTATGAAGAATATACTGCAGAGAAGAGGAAATAGTATGTTAAAGTGACACTAGACTAAAATAAAACGAATGTGATATATTTAAATATAAAATAGAATGTACCTTCTACCTCTCTCTTCCGTTGTTTCATCTCTCAAATGCAAACTTAGGTTAGTGACTCAAGAAATATTCAAGCAACTAGATTGGCTTGATGGCCATGCAGCAAGTCAGCAATGGCAGCTCAGGTAATTCTCCCCACACATTATCTTGTAAATTAAAAGCTACCATTCCCATCTTTAAAAAAAGGACCCTCTTTAATTCCCAGAACCCTTGAAGCTGGGGTATGAACATCCCTAACTTTCACACGTTCCATTATTTTACATTCTTTTGGTGGATCTTAGGAATCTGTCCCATTTTTTTTCTTTATTAAAGAAGCCCCAGTCTGGCATAATGCCAAAGCAAGACTGTGGTGGTGTAGCTGAGATTTCAGGTGGCACTTAGCCCTGCTGGCATTCCAGAGACATGTAAAGAGCTAGAAAGTGTGATTGTGCATTGCACCAAGCTACCCAACACTAAATGGCTTTCAGCAGATTACTGTGCCTAATGTAAAAGGCACAGCCATTCGCATTTGAGTATGTTTTGATATACTCTAACATGCACTCGCCTGGGTCGCAAACCAGTTGACTCAGTCTTTACAGAGTATTAGAAGAAATAACACATGTGCGTTGCACTGCTGGTGGAAAATGAGTGACAGATATCTAGAGCAGTGGATTAATATCCTATTCTGTGTTAAAATTAGCCAAAGTGTGAGTGAAACTTTAGCTCTTTTACAACAGGCTTATGGTGCACATTTCATGAAGAAAGCAAGTATTTTTGAATGGCATAGGCGTTTTAAGGAGGGTCGGGAAGAGATTCACTATGATGTATGAAGTGGGCAGCCAAAAACGCAAAGGACAGATGCAAATGTGGACAAAGGTTAAAGGAAAGTGTTTGGAGGAAAAGACCAGAGCATGATAAGGCAACAAAAAGAACTCTGGCTGACAAGTGGATCCTCCCCTATGATAATGCTCCTGCACATTATGCCTTACATGTTCAAGATTTTCTGTCCCAACATACACTTTTTACAGTCCATTCTGGGAATTAAATTGTCACACCTTGTACATATACCTGTCTCATATGGTGCATTAGTTAGAATAACATTAGAAGTAAACTAGATGAAAACAAGTGAAAAGATCAGTGAGTAAAGCCTAGTACACACGGGCCGAATGTCAGGCAGCATCGGCCAGTTCAAAATAAACTTGAACCAGCCAACATTCAGCCAGGGTTTACAGCAGCCAGTCCAACTGAAGCCAGCCATTCACCAGCTTCTGTCAAAGGGGAATGACTGAAAAAGGTCTTCCAACGGCTCTCGATCAGCGTGCTCAGCCAATGGCATAGTGGATGCTATTTATCCAATGTTAGTACAGTGGCTCCTCCTGAGCTGTCAGTTTTTTTGTGTTCAGCCCACTGAGTTGAACATAAAAAAATAGTATTGTGTACTAGGCTTGAAACAACTTGTCCCACTCTTGTGAATAGTCTATGGCAAGCTTAAAGAGGTGGCGATCTACCTAAACAACATGGTAGAATTCAAAGATCACCGGGCACAGTGTTGCCTCCTCACACGTGATTTAAACCTCTAATTGCCATACTACCGTGTCACAATTTGCTTGCATTGCATGGCAATCATGGATTTAAATCAGGTGGTGAGGGTGCAACCTATTGCCTCGTCACTACCTGTCAAATGCACTTGGATCGGTTGCAGAGGAGCAGCAGTGCCTACTGCACCTGTGAATGAGCCCTTAGTAGTAATCGGCAATGGCACCCTAAGAGCTTGTTCACATGTTGGGGGGTTGTAAAAACCCTCGGTTAAATCATGGTTTCCACAATCCCTACCCCCTTTAGCTGCTGAGGCAGCAGCTAAAGGTGTACACATGCCGCAGCAGGAATTACACCCCCTGTTGCCTTTGGTGGGTGCTACCGCCTGTCAACCGAGACCCATTCAAGTAAATGGGCCGCTCTGCAAGTGCCCCGCAACTGCATGCTTCTACAGGGTCCAGGGCTTAAAGAAGGTGGTGAGAAAGCAACAAGCTGCTACCTGTTTAACCCCTTGTTTGCTGTACTGTACAAGGTTGCAGGGCAATTGCAGAGCGACCTTATTCACTTAAATGGGTCTTACTTGGCTGGTGCTACACCCACCAACCATGATAGGGCGTAGGAGCAACACTACAGAGGAGACATCAACTTATGCGGCTCTTGCTCCCTACTACAGCTCTAACTTTACAAGTAGTTCCTCTGCATTGCACTCTGCTCTAGGATGGCATGCCAGCAAGCCCAGACCGAGATCTACTAGTCACCTGGCCAAGATCTACTGGTTGTTGACCCCCAGTCTATGCCCTCAGGAATTGTACATTGGATTGGCTATCAGGTTAAACATTTCTGTTTTGCTCTCCTGTTTCCTTGAAGTTAAACATTGACGTGGCTTGTGATTCCGATTTTGCAGAGAGGTCTGAAAGTCAACGCCTTCTTACTGTCTGGCTATGGGACCCAATCCAACTAGAGTAAAGGTTTCTCCTTTTCAAAAGCTGGCTTAGCTAGCAATAGCTAACAGTCTAACAGGATTTGTGCACCCTTCCCAAATATCCAAAAGTCAACTGGTCAGACAAAAGTATTTTGTTTTTGTGTATCTTTACATCAAAAACAGGATGGTTATTACAAATTGTAAAATAATCTTTCTTGTAACCTGTAAGCACATAATGTATGTGCTCATATTTATTGCCTGAAAGCATTCATAACATCTTCATTGCTACAACTTGAGTACCTATTACCTGTAGTGCTGAAACAACTAATCAACATAATCAATTATAATTGATTATGAAAATAGTCAAACTATTTTCATAATCGATTTGTTGGTCAGCTGATTAGTTGGCTTCCACGCCGCCCTATCGCAGAAATACTGCTACAGGGCAGCACAGCTACGCAAAATCACGTGTATATACCTGATTTTGCAGTTCCAGGTAGGAGCCCACAGCCTCGGCTGTCAATCACCAGGTCCCAGCCGGTGATTCCCCGCTGGCACCCGGTGATCTCCAAGTATTACCGATGGGGGAGAGACCTGTATGTAAACAATACAAATCTCTCCCACCAGCTCCTGCACACTGCTTTGTATGGCTCTGCAGAGCCATACAAAGCAGTGTGCTTACAGTGTAAAGCACACACAGCCCACATAGCAAAACAGCACACAGCACACAGTTAACCCTTTGATCGTCCCACATGTTAACACCTTCCTGCCCAGTGCCATTAGTACAGTGTCAGTGCTATTTATTAGCACTGATCACTGTATTGATGTCACTGGGGATGTCAGTGACACCAAGTCAGTTCCCCCCCAGTGTCAGAATGAATGCCGCAGTCCCGCTATAAGTCGCTGATTGCCACCATTACTAGTAAAAATATACCACCATTTGTAAACGCTATAACTTTCACGTAAACCAATTAATTTACACGTATTGGGATTTTCTTTAGCAAAGACATGTAGCAGAATACATTTTGGTCTAAAGTTATGACAAAATTTGATTTTTTAAAACATTTTTACTGGACATGTTTAATAGCAAAAAGTAAAAAATATAGTTTTTTTTTTTCTCAAAATTATCGGTCTTTTTTTGTTTATAGCGCAAAATAAAAAAAACAAAAAAAGGACGTAAGTTTCATTTGGGTGCAGTGTTGCATGTCAGTTAAAGTAACGCAGTAATGGCCTGGTCAAGAAGGGGGGTAAATCCTCTGGAGGGCAAGTGGTTAAAGTGATTCTAAAGGAAAAAGTTTTTTTTACCTTGCTATAGGGGAACTCTATACTATACTTTCGGACTTGCTCTAGGGGCATTCCAAAGGCAGGAGGAGCCAGAGGTGCAGATGGGGAACCCCAGAAGAGGACAATCGGGGCTGTTCTGTACAAAACTATTGCACAGAGCAGGTAAGTATGACACCTGTGTTGTTTAAAAAAAAATCACTTTAAGAGCTCTGTGCAGGGAAGATTAGCGTGTGAACCCAGAGAAGCTGGAGGTAATATAAATTATTACAATTAAATTCAAAGTAAAAGTTTACTAGTATTGTGCATTATATTTAAAATGATTATATCCATGCAAAAAAAAAAAATCATCCTTTAGTACTACTTTAATATAAAAGATTTATGTCCCCTCCCCCACCCTCCACCTTTCATATACAGTACAGTGCCTTGAGAAAGTATTCATACCCCTTGAAATTTTCCATATTTTATGTAATAGACCAACACAAAGTGGCACATAATTGTGAAGTGGAAGGAAAATTATAGTTTTCACATTTTTTTTACAAATAAATATCTGAAACGTGTGGCTTGCATTTGTATTCAGCCCCCTTTTCTCTGATACCCCTAACTAAAATGTAGTGGAACCAATTACCTTCAGAAGTAACCTAATTAGTAAATAGTCCACCTGTGTGTAATAAATACAGCTGTTCTTAGAAGCCCTCAGACGTTTGTTGGAGAACATTAGTGAACAAACAGCATCATGAAGGCCAGGGAACATGGCAGGCAGGTCAGGGATGATAAAGTTGTGGAGAAGTTTAAAGCAAGGTTAAGTTATAAAAGGAGTAGTAGAAGTAGTATTATTAGTAGAAGTATGCAGCAGCACCCAAGACATACAATCACAGGAGTAAAATCCCATCAGAATCACACACAACTCACACTACATAAATCGAACCTGAAATCACATCAAAATTGCATCACACTAGTGTGAACCAGGCCTAATTCTTGTAGAAGATATGTTTGAACTGTGTGATTATAACAACCCTTGGCTGTTTTAAAGCTAAACTTCAGGAAGATATAAAAACAAAAAATTAATGCCGTTATGAATTATTAAAAAAAATTATGATATAAATTTTCATATATAATAAGTGTAGGTATCTGAACTGGTTTCAATATCAGTTTCCTGAAATCCACTGCACCACAGGACTGATAGGGTGGCATGGTAAGTTTGTTTTCTAGCTTAGTAGTTCTCATCGTGAACTACATGTATTTAAATTGATATTAAAGGTTCAAGTTTATTGTTCTTAAAAATAACAAATGTCATATTAACCTGCTCTGTGCAATGGTTTTGCAAAGAGCAGCCTCCATCCTTCCCTTTTCAGGTCCCCTGCCGGCACTCCTGGTTCCTTCCCCCTGCAGGGTGCCCCGACAGGAAGCTGCATCTTATGGGGGCACTGGTGCAGGCTCGCTCCTGAGCCTGGGCTGTTTGCGTCTATTCAGACACACAGCCTGGCTCAGCCCCATCCCCCACTCACGGGATTTGACTGACAGCAGTAGGAACCAATGACTCCTGCTGTTCTCAGCCAAGCCTATGAATGCCGGGAGAGGGGAGAAAAGCTGCTGCAGAGTGCTGGACTGAGATCAGGCTCAAGTAAGTATTTAGGGAAGCTGTGGGGGGATCGGCACGTAGAAGATGCATGCATAGAATGCATTAAGGTAAAAAAAAACTTTTATCTTTACAACCACTTTAAACTGTCTACACAGATGCTTGCAAATGTCAGCTTCTTACCGCCTATTTTCACCCTGTAAAGGCTGAACCACCGCATTTCATTGCACGTGGTTGTGGTGCAGCTTCCTACACTTAAAAGGGACGCTTCTTGTGGCAGTACTGCCCACCGAATGTTATTAGGGATTTTATTATTGCGGCAGCATGTATACACGTTAATGAGATGTATAACCTTACACCAGTAAGCTGAAATCAAAAGAACAAAAACTTTCATTAAAGTGTATTTTTGAATTGCCACAAAAGGTATAAATCCACTTTGAGTGCACCCAATGCCTTTGCAAGCATATTACCTTTTAAACCTAGCAGTGACATGATCACTGTGTCACACGTACAGTAGCTTTTGCAGAGAGCAGAGCTGTGGGAAGGACCCAGCAGGTATCCCCACTACACAAAGCTTGTAGAAAAACTATGGGGGATCGGATGGGGTACACATACAAGACCAGTCACCTTGCACAATTGGAAAGAGAAGCAGTGACTGGTCTTTATTACAGGAAACACAGAGACAAAGTTGCACACTGGATTGCTGCATAGATATAGAAGAAATACACAAAGTACATCAAGATTCATATAAGAATACACATACCGATTGTATTTAGACAATATTTGTACAGTATATGCTGGAGTTCAGCTTGGACATGTAGACATAGACATGTAAAATTATCCTTAAGAAAAATAGGCAGAAAGATTCTCTGGAATATGGACAAGCTATCAGAGTGCACTGACTTGGCCCTAAATTATACCACAAGAAAGAAAGATACTGTAAAAGTTGATTCACAGGGCTCAATCAAATTTGGACTTCTCCCTGACTTTTAATGATTGCCTTTGACCAACATGCTCATTATCACCCACTAGGAAGACAGAAATGGTCCAGTTAGTGTAAGCAATGCTTGAAGTCAAGAGCATCACTTTCTATTATCAGGATTTTTATGGCCAGTCTAAATCTGAATGCAGATTTTTATATTTTGGTTGTCTAGGATTGTTTGAGCAAAGCTGTCATTAACTATATATTGTGGTCTACTTTGAAAAGAATAAAAATATTTTGTTACTTTGCCCCATCCCATTGTTTGATTTCATTTCATGCATTCAATGAATGACTCTAGTAGACAACAGGAGCCAGAATATATCAGAATGTAATGCTTACACAAGTTGATATATTGTAAAACCTCTAGCACAGAGTTTTGATTAGACATGTGCGTGTCATAACGAATTGATTTTCGGAGATTTGGATGTATACAATCTCCACATGGACAAAATAACGAGTCCAAAAAACGTTATAACAAAAATTAACTAATGCATTTGTTTCATTTGGATGAAGTCACATAATGCAACAGTAGTTTGGGCCCATGGGGAAATTTATACCCTTTTCAAATGTTTGATTATTCAGATTCAAGTAATTATGTGATTTAAATTGAATTTGTAATTGTCACAGTGGGATAGATTTACTAAAACTGGTGCACTCGGAATCTGATACAGCTGTACATGGTAGCCAATCAGCTTCTAACTTTAGTTTGTTCAGTTAAGCTTTGACAATAAAACCTGGAAGCTGATTGGTTTCTCTGCAGAGCAGCACCAGATTTTGCACTCTCCAGTTTTAGTAAATCAATCCTAGTCAGTCAGTTCAGCTCCATAGTCTAATGAAATGCTTAGGTTTGAAAAATTCGGGGTCACCAAATTTTGAAATATTTATTCAGTTGCATCTGAAAATATTGAATCCCTCTGAATAGTTTTATTTATGAATAATGAATGTACCCAAAATATATACTAATCTTTCAGAAAAAAACTGCAAATCGAATCCACCCAGACCAACGAATATACGTAACAAATGCTGAAGATACAAAACGAATTTTGAAAACGAATCCGTTCAATATAACGAATATGACAAAATAAAATTCTGACTGAATGCACGTGAAACTAAAATTTCCGGCGTGCACATGTCTAGTTTTGATGAAAGCTTACTAGTCTTGGTTTCTTTTTTTTTGGCGTTTTTCCCTTTATTTTTCCATGTTTATCCTGCAAATAATACACTTCTGTCCTTTTGTAACTACACTCCATCTTTAAAAGCGGAGTTCCACCCAAAATTGGAAGATCCGCTTGTTTACCTCCTCCCCCCTCCACTGCCATATTTGGCACTTTTTGGGGGTAGGGGGAAAAAGATACCTGGCTTTGACAGGTACCCGCTCACACTTTCGACTCAGTTTGGCCCCCTCCTTCCTCCCACAGTCTTCTGGGACACTTCACTAGTATCAGAAGACTGCCGGACCAATCAGGATGCACAACACAACTCGCGCATGAACAGTGGGCACCTGGCTGTGAAGCCACAAGCTGTCACAGCCTGGTGCCCACAGTTGAGATGCAGGCACTGGGAAGAGAAGAGGGAGAGAAAGGATGGCGCAGGTGAGGACATCGCTGGACTCTGAGACAGGTGAGTGTCTCATTATTAAAGGTCAGCAGCTTCAGTTTTTGTAAACAAAAATGACTGGAACTCTGCTTTAACTGTTTCTATTTACCTAACTGTTTATCAAGTGCATATGTTGAGGAAACAATACACTAAAATGAGTTTTAGAGCAAACAAAGACAATATAATATCCAATTCTTGGTAGAATATAAAAGATGGAGTTGCATTGACTAAATAAATACCAAATGTGTTAAAGTGGAACTTCACCCTCTCAACACTGACTATTTAGGCTGCTAACATTAGTAAAGGGATAAGAAAAGTATATCAGGTTTACTTGTTTTAAACTTTTTTTTACATTTCTCCAGTTACTTCCTGGTTTCCATGCCTAGGCAAATGATGTCATAGATCCCAGGAGTCTTCAGGAGGGGAGGA